CTAGTTCTCTGTGGAGAATTGTTACCATTTTCTTATTGCTAGAAAAAGCAGTATAGCGCCCGGTAACCACAAGTCCGTTCTCGAGAAACCTTGCTCCCGTTGATGGATTTTGCTAAATTAAATAAGCCCCCTTCCTCCTCTGAAGAGTGCTTGAAAAAAATATGCTCCCCCGGGGGGCTTAACAGAGGATTTACGGTAAAAAAAACTTCTATGGCTACGTAGTCGTCCTTCTAGTTTAACTTGCGATGATGCTTTTAAATATATATTCCTCTTCGCTCTAACAAATTATAGTACAACATTTCATGATTACGGGACGTTCCATTTTTATTCCGTCCCAATACATCCCTTGCCGAAAAAAAGTGAGGTGCTTAGAAGATTGTGCGAGGAGGGGTTCGGGGAAAAAAAATAAAATGTCTGCCACAGGTTGGTGCTTAAAATTTTTTTGAAGCAACCTCGAGAACCTGGGAACAAGGTTGTTTTCGAAGCTGCTTTTGTAGCAACTGTTTGTCGCGGTAAGACAAATTGTTTTAGTCCAATCAGAGGCTGTGTCTTTCCCGCTTCTTGCTTGTACAGTGTTGTGGGTCTTCGTTTCGGTCATTCGAATGAAAAGATCGCCTTGCAGGAACAAAGCTCAGTTCCTCTTTGTAAAAAATTAAACTCTTTTTTCCAGAAATGGACACAACTGAAATGGAAACGGACACAGTGAATTTGATTCAATAATCATCACTTCAACAAAGGCCCCACAGAAGAACCGAGCCTATCTATATCATCAACAATGCTGCCAAACGTAAGCTTACAAAGTTTAATTTTTAAGCTTAAGCTTATATCAGTGTCTTTCTCTCCGTATGCTATTACTACTATTTAAATCATTTATCCCGAAGCAAAACACAAGTTTGTTTCTTTCACAGGAACTTACTCCAATTTCCAACGGATTTTTATCTTCTGTAGCCACATTTCGACATCCTAATTTCTCTGTGCATGTATGTAAGATTGAGCTTAATAACTTCATGATTTGCAAGTAAGCTTAAATGCAAATTTTTAAAGCTCAAAGAATAAAACATGGTTTATATTCCAGATCTCAGTATGTTCTTAATTCCAGACGCAAATTTGCCAAGAAGCGAATTCTTAGACAAGCTTAGAACTATTTCAGCGGGTACAAAAAACGGGGCTCCTTTATAAAACCATGATTAAATCATTTGCTTGTGATAGAAATTTACAATAAAGAATGGTCGTCATTTTTTATTGCAAGAGTTCTATTCGAAAAAAAGACTAAAAATGTGATCATTAACGAGATACAAAGCACCGTGTGAAGTACTGTGAATTATCTGTTGGGAGAAGCAATATGGCTTAGAATTTTCTATTACTTGAGTACGACTTAAAAAATCTGGATGACCGCTCCATTCATGTACAATTTTCGAAGTTTACACTTATTAATTCCCTACGATTTCTTAAGTTTAATCTTTCACATTTCACTCCCCACGTTAGGCTACATTTCCTAGGAAAGGGAAACATAATTTTCGGTTTCAAAAAAGTGAGACAAATTCTAACTTTCGTAAAACGACAATATTTATAGCGCCGCTGAGAGTGCATTTCTAGAAATCTAAATGTGTTTTGGATGGTGTAAAAATTGTTCAATGTATTTAGGAGTAGGTGGTCGTTGAATGCCCCTGTTTTTTTAGATGCCAAACAATTTCCCCACGATGCAACTTTGGAGGCTATTTTCACTAACCATTCTCTTTTCCTCACTTTTATTTTATATCAGAATATTTATTGCGGCCATTTTGGAAGGCTAGGGTAGAGGTAACTACCTTGAAAAACACTTCGTTCCACATAATCTTATTGTCAAAGAATTCATTTCTTTGCCGAGCGTTTTTACTAAAGCGCAATTCGCATTATTTTGTCTATTTACTCGTCATAACTTCATCTTGACATTGGTCGCCTTTTTTTTTCAATGAATCTGCTTCAAAATCACGCTGATTTGCCATGGCAAAATTTTGCAAAGCGGCGTTTCAAGGCCTCCTCACTCGACACGCTTCAGTTTTCATATAAGAACTTAAATAATGTTGTTCTTTACTATTTGCTTACCAGAGAAATAACTCGGGAAGGAGGAGTAGTTTCTTTCTGTAATACAAAGAGAGTGTAAAACCATTTCATAGAGTCTTGACAAAAGATAAGGGCCGGGTTGTTCAAAGCTGGATTAAGACAACCCAAATTTGAAGGTTTAAAAGCAAATTAATTTTTTTTCTTTTTTTGTACAATTTGATGATTGCATTTGGGTACTGTAAAGAGAAGAGAGAAAATTATCAGAGAAAATGCTTTCGAACAAAAAAAAAAGAAACCCAGATTAAAATTTAACCCCGGTTAGCGTTAATCGGCCTTTGAACAACTGGGCCAAGGATGAAAAAAGGTCATCTACACTCTTACCTGTGCTGCCATCATATCGCCGAAAAACTCTTGCAGCATTTCACGTGTGGTTTGGTCTTTCAACATTTCCCTCACTATTTGTTGAGGTGATTGCATGCCACTGGTAGCAGCCATGGCAAACCCGTTCAAAATTTTGCAACACCCCCAGGAGCGAGCAAAAAAAAAAATATTGCGACGTCTCTCCCTCGCAACTTTCGTGCCACTCCAGAATTGGGCTCTCCTGATTGGCTTCCTCGATTTTGTGTTAAAATATCATTGGTTACAGAGTGTCGGCTTGCGTCAGTGTCAAAGTCACAATCCAAGGGACGAGCCAGCTGCATTTCTGCAGTTCATTTTACACAGCGCGTTAGATTTCCCTCAATAGCGTAACTTTATCTTGTTTCCACGATCGTTGCGGTTTATTTGAGGTGGATGGTATATTTTTTCTTAAATGCGCGAAAATAACGCACAGCTACACTTTTGAAGAGTTAGCGTTGAGAAACGCGTCTTGTTATCACGCCGGGTCAAATTTGTTGCTTTTTAATGGTTCCTTCAGTTGAATTTTTTTTGTTCAACGAAGTGGTCACGCAAATATTTATTTTTATAATAAAATAATGTCAAAAAGGAGATGTTTCTGTTCAAACTGCGACGGGACAACACGTTCGCTGAACACTGTCAAGCGGCATCGCTCGATATACAGCGCAACAGGTAAGCGCCGGTTTATCTTCGTTTTTTTTTTATCTCTAGTAATTATGCATACAACATCTACAATTCGATACAAAGCACTATGTGAAGTACTAGCTTTATGATATTAAAAAAAGATTGAATTTTAAGTGTTTTGGTCCCGCTCTCGCTATGAATGACGCAAGATAATGATAAGCCTGAGGAAAAGCCTTTGTAGCTGGTGGGATTGTTGTTGTCATTTGAGAGCATTACTGGGATAATTCTTTTAACAATTCTATGGCCAAGTACGCCCCAGTTGTCATTCTAGTTTCACTTGCCTTGTTTTAATATAATTCACTTTTATGTAGATTCTTTGATGTATAACTCAATATCATCAAATGAGGACCTCTCAGCAAACGTTGATCCGAAAGGTTCGTGTGATTTATTTTATATTTTTAAATATAGCTACATGGAATGTGTAATATTCAGAAATTTACATTAACTTGAACACTAGATTTAACATTACACATGTACGCGAGGCTTACTTTTATTAATGTACTGTTCTGGTTTTGATGGCAGTGATTGTTGTGGGTTCCATTGTGTCTAAATACTTGCATTTACAATAAGTCAAGTCCAGAATAATAATAATATAATAATGTATCGTCTAAGCCAGATTCCTGTGGTTTTTTTTTCTTCTTTGCTTTTTGATTAACTGACTACGTGCATAATAATTATTATCTGACATCAAGGCCTTATGTGTGTGTGTTGATAATGTTTGCAGTTCATTATAATCTCTTTTAAAAATCTCGTAAATGTACATGAAAAATATAGATCTAAAGGATCTATAGAATCAGCCTGGTATGGGCTAGTTCATGTCACTAGGGTAATTATTTGATTAGGACAGCTGTTTTTACTGAATTACAGATTCAGAGCATGATGTGGATCATTGCATTGCTGGTGGTAGTGGTAGCAGTGTGTGTAGTTTAATTGAGAAGGACTCATTCCAAGGTGTTGTAACAGGTATAGTTTATTTTTAATGGTTCAGTATTAAAAGCAAACGAAACTTTATCTTTTTGTTGTTTCAATAATTTCTCATTTTGTACTTAAAAATTAAAAATAATAGTTTGATAATCTAAAATGCCTGTTGAGCTACAGAGATTTATGCTGATTTGTAAGATAATTAATAACTGCATCTATCAGAGCCGTAACTAGTAGGTGGGGGGAAGAGGGGGTGGGCAGCCAGACAAATCAAGTCTGTGGATGGATTTGTTTTCTTTAGACTCAGTTCTTTTGATTGTCGGGACTGGCAATAACTGTTTCCCATTTTCATTTTCGAGGTCGATTTTCTGGAGACATATCTCATGACGTGTGCTGACAATAGTGTTTCAGGATACTCCTAGACCCCCATTAGAAAAAACCTAGCTACGACCCTGTCTATCAACTTTCATATATTATAAAACTGGAAATACTTATCTCGCAATAAGCCTCGCGAAACTCGGTTTGGTAACAGCACTCAAGTTAAGTCCTGTCGGTCGGGGTTAAGAACTGGATGGGTGACCAACCGCAAATATCGTCTTAAAGGTCCACACGTTGCTCTTTCTTTTCTTCTTTTTTGCGTATTATGTGGTGTTATTGTTAACAGTGTATTGAAAAGCAGATTTAGCATTATTTCGGCGCCCGGATTTAGAAAAAGACAAAAACAAGGAACAAATCTGGCCCGGCGCAGTTCGCCAGAAAATTATTATAGTTCGGGCCGTAATTCACCAGTCAATAGGGAGTTTAAGATACGGTCACTACGGACTACGTCTGAGCGTGAGAATCCAAGCCACGCGTGGACTGGACCGACTACGCTAAAAGGGTGCGAAAATTGGAGTGTTGTTTGACGTTAAGATCGTGACAACGACTACGGACTACGGCTGCACTTGGAAAAAAAAATGTCTTTCGAAGATGCTAGAAACGTCCTTTTAATCGCTTATGTGGATGGTTTTCTGGATGATGAAGAGTTTATTGTTCTTTACGATTATTACCAACCCGTTAATCCTTCATTTCCGTACTGGAATTTTGATCCATTCTGTTTGGATGTGTTCGACTCTTGCGAGTGCGAAGCTCACTTCAGGGTGGCCAAGGATGATATTCCGATGTTATTGAAAGCATTGCGGATTCCGACAGTTTCAAGTGCCCACAGGGAACAGTTTGCAGTGGCTTAGAAGGACTTTGTTTACTGCTGAAACGACTAGCATACCCATGCCGCTATTTCGATTTAATTTCAACTTTTGGACATCCGGTGCCAGAGCTGTGCATGATCGCTAACACTGTACTTGATTGGGTTTTTAATGAACATGGGTTTCGTTTAACCTCTTGGAATCAGCCATTTCTTACCCCTGCTTGCCTTCAAGAATACGCCTGTGCTATAGCAAGACAAGGAAGTCCACTTACCAATTGTTTTGGTTTCATTGACGGCACGGTTCGCCCCATATGTCGCCCTGGAGAAAAACAGCGCGTTGTATACAACGGGCACAAGCGTGTTCATGCGCTAAAATTTCAATCCGTAGTAGTGCCAAATGGTTTGATAGCAAATCTTTATGGTCCGGTGGAGGGTGCACGCCACGATGCAGGGATGCTTAAAGACTCTGGCCTGCTGCAAACGCTGGAAAGAGAAGCTTACAATCCAAGGGGGGACGTCCTATGTCTCTATGGAGACCCAGCTTACTCTCTTCGTCCTCATTTAATGGCCCCTTACCGAACAGGGGAGGTCCCAGTATTTACAGCCGATATGGAAGCATTTAATTCAGCAATGAGTTCTGCTAGAGCATCGGTGGAATGGCTATTTGGCGATATCTCCAACTCGTTCAAGTTCTTAGATTTCAAGAAAAACTTAAAGTTAGGATTAAGCGCAGTTGGAAAGCAGTATATAGTGTCCGCACTGTTTAGAAATATTCTCACCTGCCTTTATGGTAACACAACATCAACACATTTTCAACTTGATCCACCAACTGTTCAAGACTATTTGGCCTAATGGCATCACAGTATATCAAGTAGAGATGTCTGAGCCCGATGCCAAGTTACAAAATATATTAGGTTGTTCTAGCAGCTAATCCAGGATTTCAGGTTTTATTTTTTCATTCAAGATTACTGCTAGTGTGTGGTGAGTCTTCAGTCCATGAAAATGAAATTTAAAAAGAGAAAGCAGCAAGGCTTAAAAAAAGAACAAAACAAATGTTCACTTAAATCCAGGACAAAGCGGCCTTTTCGTATAACCCATGAAGTTCTTATGAAGTACTAATCAGATTTTAAAACATTGGTCAGAGTTGTCTTTGCTTGCCGAGTGTTGGGTCAAGGAGAGGGTCTGAACCAGGAAGGGAGGGCAAAGAAAACTCTGATTGACACTAAGTTTATGTTTTTGTAATGGAATGAATTTGTTTAACCTTAAACTTAAGTATGCAGTTGCCATCATCTACGGTATGTGCAACAACTTTACTATAAACTAATACAGTGACTATTCACTGTTAACTTAATTCCTGTATGAAAAAGATAATGGATCCAAACCGTCAAAGAAATAAAAATTTCATGACCATTTTGGTAAAAAATATTAAATTCCTGTATTATGGAAAATATGAACAATAAACAAGTTATCCTTTTTCTTGTTTCTACTCACAATAATTCACCAAACAAAGTTCACTACGCATGCTTATGTATTTTTGGGGAATTTTCTGATAACTAATAGAAAAATGCAACAGTTTGTTAAAGGTTCTGTGAAACAAACAACAACGTATTAGAGTCTCCAAAAAATGAAAAATGCCCCTTTAAATTGAATGTATGGGATGGCAAAACAGCCAAGCTCTCAAACAACAAAACTCTTAAATGTTATCACTTTGTAAGTTTCTGTACTAGAGCAAGAACAAGGTTTTGTGTGTTCATTTGACTTTGCATCATTTGTTTCATCTGCTCTTGTTGCACTTTGAATTGTTCTTTTTGCTGCTCAGCCTGAAGTTGCAGCTGCTGTCTTTGAAGTTCCAGCTCTTCTTTTCTGAGGTCTGTTTCCTTAGCTGTTTTCTCTGCTAAATACTGGAAAGGATCAGAACTAGCTCTTCTCTTTCTTCCTCTTCTCTTTACAGTCTTCTTCTCTGTGGCACTTTCGTCCCCAGAATCAGAGGCTTCACCACTTGCTCCAGCCTTTGCCCACGTGGTCATGGCTTTATCTCTACATGCAAGTGCATCCTTCCTCTTCTGGTCATCTTTTTTGCTGTTTGTATTTGCTACACGAAGTGTTGTTGACTCCATGGCCGCAACTATTTCCTCAAGCAATGTTTCGTTTTCTGTTGGTGGATCAGGGTTGATCCCACTTGCTTTTTCTTCTTTGTTTTTCTTGTTCTTGTAGTCTTTTAACAGCTTGTTAAATTGTTCCCTCACGCTTCGCTGATCCCGAGGCATGTCTCTAAAAAGACTGAAGCAGTTTAGTTTTTCGGCTACTTCTGTTCATTTTTGGCCAGCTTCCTTGCTGCCCACTTTGTACAGAAATGGCTCCGAGGAGTATAATTCCCGAAGGAGCAGAGTATTTTTTGCTTCATTCCAACGAAACGGCCCACTAAAAAGGAACACATTTTATAAAATTAATACGTAGCATCAAAGTATTTTCTTAATACAAAATGGCATCCTGCCAATCACGTTTTATCACCTGTTGATCAATAACACCATAAAAAGCTGTCCTTAGGCTGCTGTCCCCAGTCAGTAAATTATTTTATTTGCGAAACAAGGCTAAATTCAAAAAACATTAATTTGAAATCCAAAGTAAACATAAGACTCCCAATTTGGTCATTGTATCAGATTTTGATTCACCATAGTTCTCCATTAACTTCCCTTCCCAAGCTTCAACTCTCCTTCTGCATATCAATTTTAGGACACAAAACCAGTATATAAATTAATGTATGAGCATTTGAAAAACGATTTATACAAATGCCATTTTCAGACATGTGAGCTTACTTTGTTCGAACAGAGACGGCTGACTCACCACTGGAGCACACACTAAAGAGACAAACAAATACCCAGTCAGTGTCATGATTGACAATGAAGTTTCCGTTTTATATAAAACAGGGTTCGTACTCTTTTGAGCCCTTCAAATTCCATGACTTTCCATTACTTTTTCCATGACCTTTTCCAGTCTTCCATGACTTTGGTTATAGCTGTCACTTAAGAAAATTTTTAAAACTATCCTTGTTTTTATTTAGGGTATTTACCTTACTCAGTGCAACAGATAACACTTTAGTGTCCACCATACGTGCCATTTCTAAATGCCGTTTAATTTTGTCTTTTTGTCCTTATTTTGGAGTGTGCACGAACTAGTCTAGCAAACATAACCTCAATTTTCCATGACTTTCAATGACCGACAATTAAATTCCATGACTTTCAAGGCCTGGAAAATGAATTCTTAAATTTCATGACTTTCAAGGTTTTCTATGACCTGTACGAACCCTGTAAAACCTTTTACAATCTATTTTGATTTGGAAAAAGTACATACTTCCAACAAAGTTCGCAGTTCACCTTTGAAAAGTAGAAAAAGAAAGTGAATTACCTGCTTTCATCTCCTGTTGACATCCTAATCTGCTTGTAAACACAACAGAATTCAAAGGGCGTCAGTAATCAGAACCAGAAACAGAAAAAACATGCGATTTTTACTTCTTTTTCGCTCAAGTTTAATTGCCTAAAGACTGTTCAACATAAAAGTAGCGTTTAGAAAACAAAACTGGTCAAAAATCGGCAAAAAAATACTTACGTAGTCCTCACTACGCCAATCTCCTCGACTACCCCCCGTAGCCTGCAACCACACGACGGACTACGAAACCCACGTGCTATCGAGCATGCGCAGTAAATCTCGAACCAGGTCCTCGCCGTGTATTACCGTAGTCCGTAGTCACCGTATCTTAAACTCCCTAATGTAAACCACGGCGCCCCGACCCCCGGGACATAAGGGACTTTAAGAACTGACAACGCGGTGGTCTGGAAAACGCGAGGACCGAGAGTGGGGCTGGGGCGAGCACCGCGTACTAAGCGCGGGAAATATGTAGTTAAGATCAAGAACGCGATCATTTAGACTAGTCATCGTCTGCAAAACAGTAAAACGCTTTTCACCTTTCCCTACAAGAATGACTCAAAACTCATTTAAGACTTTACAGGAAGCTTTGCTCCTTAGTCTGGAAAAAAAGCTAATAGATGACGAAGAATTTGCCGTGCTGTATGAAGAATTCACTCCACAAAACCTTCCGTTTCGCCACTGGGATTACGAAAAATTTTCCCTCGAAAACAAAGACCCAGCAGAGTGTAAGGCAGACTTCAGATTTGAAAAGAGTGACATCTCATTGCTGGTGCATGTTTTACAGATGCCTGATACCTTCACATGTCCGAATGGTACCGTTTGTGATTCAACAGAAGGACTTTGTGTTATACTAAAGCGCTTTAGCTATCCATGTAGGTTGTCTGATATGATTTCTACTTTTGGTCGATCAGTACCCGAGCTCAGCATGATTAGCAATGAAGTCACTGAATGGATGTACAATGTTCATGGCCATAGGATTACCGAATGGAATCATTTCATTATGTCTCTAACCTACTGCAAACGTACTCTGAAGCAATTCATGACAAAGGTGCCGCCTTGGAAAACTGTTTCGGCTTTGTTGATGGAACGGTTCGTCCCATATCAAAACCAGGAGTCAATCAGAGAGCTGTTTACAATGGCCCAAGCGCGTTCACGCCCTTAAATTTCAATCCTTGGCCCTACCAAATGGATTGATTGGCCATCTGTTTGGACCAGTAGGTAAGGGTATATTAATTCATTTTTATGTTTTTACTTGGAGAGACATTTTTATCACTTATGTGAACTTAAAAGTTAGATTGATTTTTTTTTTCTCATAATGTTAATCTGACGTTTCTTGATGACTCC